ATCTCACAGAGACGTCCATGCCATCCACGGAAGTTAACACCTCACCTGGAGTGTCTGATGAGGAGAAGGGTTGAAGAAAATCACCATTAAAGTTCACTGAAGTTAGTTAAAAGTTGTAGAAAGTCAAACTGGGGTGACTGTTTCCCGTGACACAATACAGCGTACACTGCAGATGAATGGCATGCATGGCTGTCATTCTCAAAAGAAACCTCTCCTAAAGCCAATGCACAAAAGCTCGCCTAGAATTTGCCAGGGCCCATGCTGAAAATAGAGATGACTATTGGAACTCTGTACTCTGGAATGAGACCAAGATGAATGTTTTTGGAACTGATGGCTTCAAAACTGTATGGAATCGCAAAGGTGAGGAGTACAGAGAAAAATGCATGGTGCCTACAGTGAAACATGGTGGTGGCACGGTCCTTCTGTGGGGCATGAGTGCTGCTGGTGTCGGGGAACTGCATTTCATTGATGGTATCATGAATTCACATATGTACTGCTCTATATTGAAAGAGAGAGAAGATGCTACCATCACTCCATGCCCTAGGTCATCGTGCACTTTTACAACATGAGAATGATCCTAAACACACATCTAAAGACACTGGTGCATTTCTGAGGAACAGGGTGAAAGTGATTCAGTGGCCAAGTATGTCTGCTGATCTGAACCCGATCAAAAACCTATAGGGAATTCTGAAGAGACAAGTTGAGCATCACTCTCCATCCATCTTCCAAGCTCTAAAAGAAGTCATTCTTGAAGAATGGAAAAAGATAGATGTTGCAATATGTCGCCAACTTGTTCATTCCATGCCTAGAAGACTTGGTGCTGTCCTTACAAATCATGGAGGTCATACAAAATACTAGATGCAGTAGTTTTTGTTGTGGGTTGTATTCATTTTTGCATCAACTAATTTGAGAAAAACCAAAGATTTTGTAATCCAAGTTATATCAACCTTACTTTCATGTAATGAGCTTAACAAATGTTCTATAAAACTCAGTTTTGTCAAAATTTTGGAAATTGTTCTTGTGTTCATTGAGCTATTGATTAAAATCTTACTTTTCAAAAGGGGTGTACTCATTTATGCTGAGCACTGTATATATATTTATATATGTACAAGTATGCTGCGTGAATGGGAACAGAAATGCATAGCAGGGTTTTCTCAAATTTGACAGCAAAAGATGAAATACACTTTAAGCAAACAGAATATTACCTACCTTCTTTACTTGACAGCTGAAATGACTGGGAACGAATCAACGGTAATGTGGTTCTTCGCTTAAGATTCATATCATCATATGAAGAAAAACAACTAACAAATAAAAAAAGATACAAAAAAGTTAGCAAACAAAATTTTTGCATGCATGTTTCCGGATGACAGAGATACAACCATAAACACCACAGTGATAAAACATGTGTATATATTACACAACTACAGGTTAAATTTCATTATTCAATTTGGAATACTTTAGACAGTCTGCTAACATAAAATCAGTAAATTGTTTTGGACATTTTCAGATTAAAAGTGAGACCACAGGCAGTCTGCAGAAAGCCCTCAAACAATTTAAAGAGAGCATGTCACCAGCTTTAAAACAAATGCAGGTAACAAGCATAGAAAAGTCAAGTATCTTAAGGCTCAGTTCACACTAGTGCTGCTTTGCAGGCAGCAGCATGGCAGCCCAGTCATTTGAATGGGCCACTGTGCCCAGAAATATGCTGGAAAAAAAAATCCCTGCACCTTTATGGAAATAGCAGCCTGCAGTGGGAACCCCACCATAGTGCGGTTCCAAGTGTGGGCAGGGTGCCATTAGGACACACATCCTGAGTTTTGTCTACGGGTGGTTACAGCAGCTAGACGAAGCACGGGTCCAGCAGCGGCTTCCCCTGCACTAGTGTGAACCAAGCCTAAGTGCTTAAAAACATTTGACAAAGCCTAAAATATTCTGAACAGCAATCCTATGTGGCTATTTCAAATTCCAACTGGACAAGGCTGTGTGTATTCTTCCGCACCACAAAGCCACCAGAATAAAATGTAACCTTTTTTTCAATCATATAAAAGTAGGTTTATAGCCATAAATGTGAATTCCTGCAGGATGAGAAAAAAAAAAAAAAATTACACCCCTTGTGGGTGCTTAATATATCCATGTGGATACCACCATGTGCAACTAATAGGTATATATAGAGTAGAGACCTTACCACATATGGAGACCAATTTCCATATGGTTATAAAGAAAAGATGGTGACTGTCTCCATTCCTTCAGTATACATACTTGCACCAATATCTCATTCCAGATCACGTCATGTCTACATGAGAGAGGCCTTTACAGAAAAATAACATGCCTAAAAAGTTAGATACACGCCTATTCTTATGGGAAGACTGTTGAAATGAATAGTCAGGTAATAGGGTCTCTAAGTTACTGGACAATTTAGACAACCAGCATCCATCCATAAGTAAAATATCACTTATGGATAATGAGGTTTCAAGCAAGATCAAAAACAAAACAAAAACAGCAGTTTAGATGTAAAGTAGAATTCAAAGTTTCAACGCACATTAACGTGTTCAATTGGGCCAAGTCAGCCCAAACAAACTATTTCTAATAATAAAATGCTGTTTGTACTGTAATATACTATGCAGCATCAGAAAGATACAGTAAGCAGACTTGTGTTCTGTGCAACAATACTTTGTTGCTAGTATTAAAAAAAGATGGGTTAAGTACATTTCCGCTATAAGGAAAATAGGTTTTATTTTGTGTAATACCTCCATTTTAGATGTGTGAACAGTTAGTTTCAATTTTGAGTTTTTTTTGTAACTTCTCTCTCGTTTTCTGAGAATAATTTCATTTCATTGTAAACGGAACAACCTTATATTGTATCTCTCAGCTATTTGCAGTTTCTGTTCTTCACGTAACTATATTGATAAGAGTGGAACGTTTCATTGGTCATCCTAAGATTAAGCAACACCCACTGAGTTCTGTATAACAGTTCTTGCCATGCATTAAACTTTCAGAGATAGCTTGCACACTTCGGTGTCCAGAGCTTTATTTCTCCCAGGCCTGGTGGGAAAATATTGGGAGGGAGGACATTTTGAGCTACAGACAGGAGCTGATCCTATCATCCGCCATTCAGGAAAAGTCTTGCATTTTTTGTTAAATCAATGAATACAAGGCTTTCAAATAAAAGGCACTCACAAAGAGACGGAGGATCACTCAGGTGGTGAGAAAGTCTGCTGTGACAACTTCTTTGTTAAGGCAGGTCCAGTGGTTGCTGTCTGGGTGGCTATTCCCAGGCCCTGGATGTACGCAGTCCGGAATCACCACCACCACTGTGGGAGCCAAATGGGGAAGACCACAAACTAGGAAGTCTGGGTGCCACTCCATCAACAGTGAACTCTTTCACCAGGATGTCACTCCTAAAACATGCACAGGCACACATTTCGAGGAGGCACTCCTCCTCAGTCTGCCCCAACATGGAAAAATATATTTGTAAACTGGGAGTGAAGAGAGAAAACACTCAATTTCTTCAGCCACGATAAACAGCTTGTAGGAATCTGCACTTCCCGCTGCATTCATAGAGCCATGGCACTTGCAGCTGTCTGAATTCCTGAGGAGTCACTGCACCTGACTGGGTGCTGTCACTGTTTGGCCGACAATATTACATCCATCTCCTTTGGCTTGCTAATCGAGTTTTGTCACCAACTGGCTATTTCTAGAGTTGGATGGAGGCTCTATTTGCATGTAATGGCTCAGTTGTGTAAATACATGTGAACAGAGGCAGCGCCAGATGTGGATTTGTACAGAGTACAAAACTGACAGCCGACACTGAAAGTTACAGCTGTTCGCACAGTGTGCGCAGGCAACGCTTGTTTATTTATTTCAGGTACTTATATAGCGCCGTCAATTTGCGCAGCGCTTTTACATATATATTGTACATTCACATCAGTCCCTAACCCTCAAGGGGCGTACAATCTATGGTCCCTAACTTACATTCATACACACACATACTAGGGCCAATTTAGACAGGATCCAATTCACCTACCAGCATGTCTTTGGAGTGTGGGAGGACACCGGAGTACCCCACCGGAGTACCCGGAGCAAACCCACACAGGCACAGGGAGAACATGCAAACTCCAGGCAGGTGGTGCCGTGGCTGGGATTCGAACCAACAACCCTAGTACTGCCAGGCGGAAGTGCTAACCATTTAGCCACTGTGCTGCCCCAAGCCACAACGCCTACAACCACTAGCAATCTGATTCTTGTTAGCAGCTGCCCTTGGTTCCTGGTATTCGGCAGTCTAAATGTAGCCTAACACTGCTCACAGGCATAAGAGAGCAGCCAGAAATGTAGACGCAATGCAAATGTCCTCATGCAAAAGAGATCATTACTCATTAAAAGGTCCAATGCGCAGAGAAGACCATCACTACATCACAGAGGTGACAGATTGTTAAACTGGTCTCAGATAGCTAAGGAATATATATTCTCTTTGCAAAACAGGCTTTGTATCTGCCACGTATCATCATGTAAGTACGTTTAGAAGGGAGAAAAAAGTACTGCTATCATAACAGCAGCAAAACCGGTAACTCAATTTATAAATACATACTAAACATTACAAGACTCCTTGTTTATGCAGACTTCTATATACCCAAAATCCTAGGACTCTAAGCTCCAAATACTATATTATGATAGACTCCTGAAAGATGGCAACACTTTACTTACCGTTTGGGACTTGGGTAGTTATTGCTTTTGGGTATTTTCGATAGGTAATCATCGCTGAACTGTGATGTGTTTCGACAACGTTGTAAACAAAGCAGTGCTATCAAAACAACGCACAGCACTAGAGAGATTATTAAATAGGTCTGTCGATCAAACACCTGCAATGACAAAAAAAAAAAAGTCAAAGATCATTCACAGGTAAGATACAGAAAACCACAGAATTAAACAATGGCACTATGAGTGCTTTTAGGAAGACAGGCCCATATGTGTATTACCATTAGAGAAGGAAAAGTCCTTTGGCAGATTTGTCATTACGGAATGTCAGACAATCATCTTGAGTCACTTATGTTAACACCATGTATCAAATATCCATACACCTAAGAATTTAGGTTATGAAAATTGTGTATGAAGGCCTATTCACATTAAACCACATCCCAACCGCCCTATAGCAGAAATACTGACACAAGACCGCAGGTGTGTGCGCAAACACACACACACTTCACCCTTTGATAGCCCCTCATGTTAACTCCTTCCTGGCCAGTGCCATTAGTACAGTGTCCATGCATTTTTTTAGCACTGATCACTGTATTGGTGTCACTGGGAATGTCAGTGACACCAAGTCAGTTCCCCCCGGTGTCAGAATGCCCGCCGCAGTCCCACTAAAAGTCGCTGATCGCCACCATTACTAGTAGAAAAAAATTTGTCTTTTTTTTACTTCTAGCGCAAAAAAAAAAAAAATGCACAGACGATCAACCACCACCAAAAGAAAGTGCAATTCATGGGGAAAAAAGGATGTAAATTTCATATGGGTGCAGTGTTGCATGACCACGCAATCGTCAGTTAAGGTAACTCAGCACCCAAACGCAAAAAATTACCTGGTCAAGAAGGGGGGGGGGGGGGGGTAAAACCTCAGGAGGGCAAGTGGTTAAAGTACTCAGTTCCAATGCATTAATGCAAATATTATATTATGTATTATGTAGCGGTGCACTGAAATGAAAATTCTGTTGCCGAAACTGACACAAAAAATTCAGAATGCATGTGGCTGAACACCGAACCAAAACCGAAATGCCTGCTTATGTGCGAGTAGGGAGGGTGCAATTTTTTTTTGTACTTTTTTTTCTACTTTTATGAATTTCTTTTTTTTAAACTTATGATTTTATTGCCATCACATAAAGGGACCAATAGTCCCCTATGTGATACCATATGAGTGACAGGTCCTCTTTGTAGGGGTGGGGAGGGGAGCAATGGAGGGGCAGGAGAGGAGCAGTAGATACAGTGAGGTAGCAGTGTATACATAGAGGCTCCCTCACTGACTGTCTCTATAGGTGCCGATTTTTAAATGCAATTGCCGGCTTTTTTTATCTTCACTATAGCTCATAGAAGTAGCTGTCACTTTCCCAGGAGCTAAAGGAAACTTTGTTTCTTTTATCTTGGGAAAGGAACTAAAAAGAAAACATTGTTTCTTTTAACTCCAAAAAATAAACTAAAAAGAAACGGTTTCTTTTAGCTGGGGGGGAAGTGACAGCCGATTCTCTGAGCTATTGTGAAGAAAAAAAAAAAGCCGGTAATTACATTTAAAAACCGGCACTGACATATAGTGACAGCCAGTCACTGTATACACTGCTACTCTCCTGCCTTTCTTCACCACCCCTCTCCCCACCCTCACATCTGCAGTACACACAGTCCCCTGAATCGGCTAAATTTTTTCTACCGGCATAATGCCGATAGGGCTGTTTTTTGGACGATATGTTTTGGTGGCCAAAATTTCTGTGCATCCCTAGTATTATGGCATCCCATTCATTATGAATGGACTGGAAACACACCACAATAGATGAAAAATATACAGTGGGTATAGAACAGAATCGCCACCTTTAAAAAAAAAAAAAAAAAAAAAATTTTTTTTGCTTTGCAGCCTGAAATTAAATTAGATTTACTCCATTTTAATCCAGCTATATTTACTCAGTGCAACGTATAACACCCAAGTGAAAGACTGAACACCAACGTGTCAGAAATTTTTCTAAAAAGAAAAAACAAATCACTGGCACACAAATCCATTTGACGTTCAACTGTGATGAGCGGCGGTCATTTTGATTAGCTCAGCATGAAAAGAGCTTTCTTTTCAGTCCCTTTTAGTGCAACTGAAGAAATCAACTAAGGGTGGCAAGGCACTGTCAAAAGATCTCAAGGATAAAGTTGTGAACAGACACAAGTCAGGCGAAAAATTTCAAAGGATTTATCAATGCCTAGAAGCACAGTGAAGTCTATTAGTAAGAAGTGGAAGATATTTGGTACAACACAACCTCCCTGGATCAGGACATCGCTCCAAACTGGAAGAGCCAGGAGGAACATGGTCAGGGAGGCTACCAAGAGGCCTACAGCAACTCTGAAGCAGTTGTAGGAATTTATGACAGAGTGGTCATTGTTTGAATGTGACAATATCACAAATACTCCATAAATGTGGCTTGTATGGGAGGGTTGCAGGAAAACAGCCACTCCTCAAGAAAAGTCACATGCAGTCACCACTGAGCTGTCAAAATGCACCTTGAAAAGTTGAGGCCACATGGAAAAAGAAGGTGGTAATATCCTGTTATGGGGAAGGGGTCTGGGTTCTCTGCAGTAGGGACTGGAGCACTTGTCAGGCTAGAAAGAAAAATGGATGGGGCAAAATACCGCCAAAAAAGGTGAATGTTCTTGCATGGCCAAGTCAGGTCCCAGATTTAAACCACATTGAAAATCTGTGAAATGACTTAAAGACTGCAGTCCACAAATGGTCACCATAAAATTTAACTGATCTTGAGCAGTTCTGCAAAGAAGAACAGGCAAATATTGCAAGGTCTAGATGTGCAAAGTTAGTACAGACATATTCCAGCAGACTAAAGGCTGAAATTAAAGCAAAAGGTGGTTCAACAAAATACTGACACGAATGCAATAAATTGCACTTAATAAATACAGCTTGACTAATATGGAGTAAATGCAGCTTCATTTCAGACTGCAAAGCAACAAAATGTGATTTTAAAGGGGGTGATTCTTTTCTATACCAACTGTACATAACATGGTTTCAAAGTGCTGCGCACCGCAAAGCATTGTATATGAAGTACATGGTTTGTACTGTGGTGCACTGTGTAAGGAATAATTAGTAGTCCTCAGGAAACTATTATAACTGCCCAAAAACACCCAGTTAGGTAGTTTTCATTTAATGTGTCCGAAAGGCATTTTTTTGGTTTTGGATAGACCGCAGAGGGATTAGAACACCTGTCAGTTTCTATTGCTGTCTGTGCCCCACTCAGATAGATTCACCCTATTTGTCCTTTTTACCATTATCGAAAGTGACAGAAAAATCACAAATTTTGAGCTGACACCAGATCAGGAATAGAGAAGAAGTCAGTCTTCCAATGGGGACACTAGTTCTGGTAATCTTGGTAAAACCCTAGAATTCTTTCATTTTGGAGGGATTTCGCCTCACTTCCGGTTTGATTATGGGACAGGAAACTAGGGGAAATCTCCCCAATGGGATACAGATGACAAAAAAGCTGACATGGATTATAACCGTACTGCATCTAAAATTAAAAAAAAAGTTTTGCCTTTACTGACACTTTAAACATTAACACAATGTTAACTTACAGAATAACAATATTAATATTGCTTGCATTCGACTGAGCTATTTCACATTACAGTAAAAAATAGTATTTTTGTATACAAGTCCATTGAGGGAAGAAGGAAGTCTTGAACCCTTGGGTTACACTGCCACCTACTGGAGGACTGGACACTGGGGAAAAATACATAAATAACAGGCCAGGCCTTTATAAACCCTGCCATCACCAGCAAAAAAAAGTAGTGCCAACAGCATAAACGTGGATGTTGGTGTGTCTGTGCGATCTAGAAATGGTGAAATTAGAAGCCTGTGCATTCTTCTGGGGTCCCTCTGGAATGACAAAGGTATCAGTGTTTTTGAACGAATCATTGACTGAAAGATAGATTTGCAAAGCCCAAACCATCAGTCAATGGAGGGAAATTTCATTTTGGTGAATTGGAACCAGGCAGAGGGACAGAACAACAATGTTGGTTTGAGGTGATAGGCAAAAACTACCTTAGGCATGAAGAAGTCTGATCTCAATCTCACCTTGTCCTTATGCAAAACCAGAAATAATTCTTTGCAGGATAAAAAAAAAAAAAAAAAAAAAATCACTTCAGAAACTCACCTCATGGAGAGGATAGCTGCAAGAAACACCAAATTTTGGGGGAAATAAGAAAGAGGAATATCTGTAATGGGTTCAAATGGCTGTTTCCAATGCACAGAAAGAACCAGATTTTCGGACCAATGGAATCACAGGTGAACAGACAAGGGAAGCCACATGGGAGAAACCCTGTACAAATGTCTGACCTTTTCCACTGGCTCGGGAACACTTTCCTTTGGATTTGGAACAGCATCTTATTGGGTTCCTTTCTAACACATGGTGATCTCTAGCTCAGCCTATGAAGATTCCCTTTCATTTTGTATTCACTATACCATCTTTGTGGACTTTTTTATTCATATTTTTTGGACACACTGAATTGTTTGGAGGATTTCTCCCTTATTTCAATTTGCAGTTTTGCTCATTTATGCATTTAATTTTTCTTTATATGAATTTATATGCAGCTATTTATTTCACTTGTTATACTTTTTATATATGAATTTACAATTTGTATTTTTTATTTCTATTTTGATCATTTAGAGCTGCACTTTATATATCTCCCTCCTAATTGGCTGAGCCATTGGCTTCCGCTGCTGTCAAATCACAGCCAACGAGTCAATGAAGAGAGAGAGGGAACGGGGCTGAGCCACAGCTCTATGTATGAATGGACATGCAGAGCAGCAGCTTGGGAGTGCGCCTGCTTGGGTCCCCCAATAGCAAGCTCATTGCTCTGGGGGCACTAAGCAGGAGCCAAAAAGTGGCAGCAGAGGACCAGAGAAGAGGAAGATCAGGGCCCCTCTGTGCAAAACCACTGCACAGTGCAGATAAGTAACATGTTTCTCATTTTATTTTTTTTAAATTGTCTTTAATACCACTTTAAGTAATCCACAATGGGGATGCCAGGCGAGCACAACAGGGACAGCACCATGGTAAATATTTGAGGTGCAGACGAGAGGCTGAAGGACAGGGTCACAAACTGGTAGTGCAGAACCACACAGAAAAGTGAAGGAATCGCTAATTCACTGGAAAGGCACATACCCTACCAGAATATAAGCACCTTATAAGAAGGGAGACTGCCAGATGCATCTACAGTGGGAATAGACCACTTTTATGATGCAGAAAAAACATGTTCATCCTTTAGTTTTAGAGCCGTGTGCACTGCATAATAAGAGCAGAAACAGTGTCCTTTAATTTGGGAGTAATATCATTAGACTGATTTCTCAAGGGTAAGCTCATCATTCAAGGACTGGAGCAATTTAGAATCAGAGTCTCGATGGCTCGGAAGCTGTTGGAGCTGTGGACAGATCTGATATACAATCTGCAGGAGAGGGAGCTGGAGCATGCCTGTGACCTTTGCAGGCAGTCAGTAAAAAAAAAAAAAAAAAAAAAAAAAAAAAAAAGAAGAAGAGGATCCAGCCACACCAGATGGAGCAAAACTGTAAAAGGAGACTGGATAGGCTCAAAAGCAGAGGGATACAGGACTACAGACTGCAGTCAATGAATTGTGAGCTGGTGGTGCACATTGACATGAAACCCAGATAACCATTCGCAAATGAAGGTAGAATGGCCAGAGGTGGCTAAAGTCACTGCAGGCAGCAGGAATGGATCAAAGCTCAATGTGGCTCTTGCAAGCAGGAGCAGAGATGGGGAAGAGCTTCCATGACACTGTATCACGGGAAAGCAAGGAGTACATGCCTACAACACCCAGTGAATAATGCCTACAACACCAAGTGAATAATGCCAGCACTCAGCCCACAGCATTAACCCACTCCACATCAAAATCAGTGGGAATGAGAAATACTTAAGCCAAGCTCGGGGGAAGACAGGGGCAGCACTGAGACAATGCCAGCAGATCTGGAAAGCACTTTACAACTAATTTTTACTAGAGTGGAGCCTGGAAGGGAGTTCATTGCAGAACTCAAAAGTTCAGTAAGGTCTGGCCACAGTACTCTGAAAGCCAAGCTGAGGAGAAGCATGCCAGATAGCTGCATTCTGAGAGAGACCACCAGCAGCGACTGGTGAAAAAGAAAAAAGGCCATCCTCTTAGAACGCTAGCAAAAAATGAGGCATGCAGGCAGTGAGAGGGACTTAGCTTGGGCTGACATGCAGTATCTTTTGTTTGCCAGCATCCAATCCTCCTACAGGTGGCAGTATAACCCAAAGGTTAAAGACGTCATGCATCCCACAATGGTCGGGAAAGAAAATCTTTTAGGGAGTTACTAATGCTATACAATTAAACTGCAAGTGTGCTAAAGCCTGCTTAGTTTACTCTGATATATGCTCTGCAAATTTCCTAGCAGATAATGCCCATGTTGGGCATCTTCACTCCCCCCCCCCCCCCCCCTTCAACATTCAAACATCGAAGGTATGCTAATTGGTAGCTGTCAGAAACTTGGTAATTATTTTTATAGCAAGCATATTGTGTAAGTAGCAGGAAAAACATTATTCAGCAGGAAGTTTGTGTTGCTTGTATGGATCTCATTATTTAATTTTCAGTTTTGCCTGGAGTTTACCTTTAAAGCAATAATAAGACAGTGTAACTTACACTGCTTATAGAGATTGTATAAACGTTCATGCAATACCTAAATAGAGATACACATTTTAAAGTTTTATAACATATGTCCAGTGACCTATTCCATGGCTTCTGGTGTTTCCCTGGGGGAAAAGGAATAGCCATTTCCATTACTGTTGCCAATATATGTCACTGAAGAAGATACCACATCAGCTTCTAGTTAATTATCAAAACACAAAGCACTGACAGCAGCCCACACTGACCTATTCACAGCAGTGAAACAATGGTTTTTGTGTACCCCATTCACCCCACAACACTACTGTGATACACATCATTGCACTGCATTGCAAATTGTCGCTTTGGTACTATTAATAAAGTGCGTAAAAAAAAAAAAAATGTGTACGGCAGTGATTAGTGTGTAGGCAGTGTAAAGAGGCCCTTAGAGTGGGAGCAGGACACTATGGGGTTTATTTACTAAAGATGGTTCCATTCAGAGTCTCATGCAAAGTGAGGTTAGAAACTCATTGGCTACCATGCACAGGTGCAGGAGACTCTGAATGAACCAGCTTTAGTAAATAAACCCCTATGAAACACAAAGCTACAAATGGCATGCCTACTAACTGCTAGTTGGAATACCTTTTGGTACATAGTACAACTGAAAGACCATATTAAATAATCCACGCCAATAGTGACTCACCTCCTGTCTTAGTTCAGAGACTGTAACAGACAGATTAGAGACTAATAGGGTCACGTTGAGGAGCTGAGCTTGCAGAAGTTGTATAGACTCAGTCTGCCTTTGATCCTGACAACAGATAAAAATCAAAGGTTATTTCAGAACATATCTTGCATGCTCATTTATATGGTGCATACAGGATATAATGTTCAGTATTCAGGATTAAAATAAGCACAGGCAGTGAGCACACATTATGATCACAGAAGTTTGTTAAACATGTGGACACGCAGATCACTTCTACAATATGTCTACAATATGAGTTTCTTTTAGCAATGACATGTAGGACACATCCAGGGCAATCAATGTAAAGTTCAATTGCAGAGACTGCTTCCCAACCAGCAGAGACTGTTTACCTAACCACAAATACTGCAAGTAAATACTGTGGTCGAAATCCCCCAAAACCTTTTTTGGGCAAAGTGAAAATGGATTTAATATACACGCAGGTCTTTACTGCTATCTACAGGTAAATTCCCCTTTGTTTCTGCCGTGAGCTGAATTTCACAGTTTCCTTCCTTGGAAAGCATTTGATTGTTATTACTATAGATAATTCACAAAAATAGACTGGTGACACTTAGGATGCATTCACACTTAGGATGCATTCTCACTTGAGCGATTTGTATCTTGAAGCTCCAAAAACTCTCAAACTTAAAAAATCAATTGTTCTCTATGGTGTCTGTTCACGCTGTCAGGTGTGAACAGGCACCCTAGAGAAAGATTGATTTTTTTTTCAAATTTGAGCATTCTGGAGTTTTCGAGCTACAAATTTCTCAATTCTGAATGCAGCCTAAAGCTGGCCATATATTATACATTTTGTTAGATTTACCTTCAACTATGTGGTGCAAGGGCCTGCCTTATGGCATACAAATTAGAAGTGTTCAGGTTTGAGCTCATATTATATGAAATTGTATAATATATGGCCAGCATAAAGAGGCGTTCCACCAAAAGGGGAAGTTCCACTTTAAAGACTGGTCCCTTGCTCCCCATTAAGGAATGGCACCTTTGGGGAGCGGGGGGGGGGGGTACCTGCTTCCACTGCAATCGTCTGGGGCAATCGGAAACGGAAGTTGTCCTCCTACCCTTCCTCCCCGAAGTCTTGTGGGACACGTGACAGGTCCCAGAAGAAAAAGGCATTCCAGAAGCGCAGCGCTGCTTGCGCATGTGCAGCGGGCACCCGGGTGTGAAGCAAGCTGTCACAGCCGGGTGCCCACACTGAAGATGTCGGCGCCTAAAATACAGGACGGCCGGTGAAATGAGCTGCGTGGGATCGTGGGACAGGTAAGTGGCTGTTTTTTAAAAGTCCGCAGCTACAGTATTTGTAGCTGCTGACTTATTTTTTTTAACAGAGTGAGTGGAACTCCGCTTTAAATCATTGTCATTGACCCCAGTGGATTTGCCATAGGAATACACAGACAATACACTCAACAAAAGTAAATCAGGATGCTCAGTTTACAACAGAAACTAGACTGTCGAAATAGGAGCAAGAGGTAGGAGGAGGTTATACCACTGAGATGACAGAACACAATTAAGGACAGAAGAAGTACCAAAAAGTAAAATGAATCAAATCTGCTTTGGATAATGCAACAGGTTAGCTTTTTTTTTAGACCTCTCTCCAGCAACACCAGGATTGGCAGAAAAAAAAAAAAGTAATTTTGTGGTGTTCAATGCAAGTATCCATAGATTTTCTATAAAGAAGAGAATGCAGGCTGTCATCACTGACCTACTTCTGAAAAGACTAGTTGCTTGGTTGTCATATTGAGCCAATGCGTTCAGTATTTAGTCTTTGATCCAGAATACGTAAGCAACAAAGCTTGAGTAAAGTCAGAACTCGTTCTGGTGGTTACTCAAAGTAATAAAACTAGAAGTAAAGCAGCATGACAGGCAATGGCACATGAACTAATTGTTTACTAAACCACTCACAGTATGCCCCAAGTGACATTTTATAAACCGTGCTGGGATAACCACTTTTTGACTAAACAGGGTTTTAAAAAGGACACCCAAACTCTGCGGCTCAGCCTGCAATCCATGCGAGTGCTGGACCACGATTCTTGCTGGCAGTTTGCAGTTTCAAGCCCAGGAAGTAAATTTGTCAGCACCTGGGCTAGTGATCCTGTGTCAAAATACATTGTGTACACAGAGAAAGTGATGTCACAAGTGACACACTTTGTCTTTTATAGAGACTACAACAGATGGCATCCAGCTTTTCCTTCCCATGCAATGGTGGTCACATTATTTTCTGTGTGCGTTACAATATAGATTTGAAAGCGGGGGAAAAAAAAAAAAAAAAAGATCTCCAAAATTAAAGTGCAAACTTTCTCATTATTCTAAGTTACATAAATATAGCACGTATGCAAAATTCTTTTATTAGAAGACACTCTCAATTTCATTTTGGGCCAAATATCTGGGAATGTGCACATTACTTAACAGTTATGTTGGTGACCTAAGAAATAAGCTACATAGCAACATGATTTCTTACATGATGCAGCAGAACCAAAGCTGTACATATGCCTGAGAGTAAAGAAAATGGTAATGGCTGTGGCACATCACCAGACAACCTTGAAACAAGCAGGAGAAGCCATATTACCGGTGGACCCATAAACATATACGAGGGCTAGATGTCTATAAAGCTGTGGCTCCCCAACTGGCTAATGGTTTGCCTGGACTCCTGCCATATTATAGTGATGTGTGCCATGAGATCTGTGCAGCCTGACTTTTTGGATACACATAACAGAGTGTAGTGCAGGAAAGGGAAAATCCAAAGACCATTAAGTTCTTATTCCATGATTCAGTTTTATCTTAGGCCAATGTTTTTTTTAAATAATGAAGTATGGTGAATTCCCATAAGTTCCATTAACCATAATGAAAGAGGAACTTCTCCCGGCTTTAAAAATGAAATTAAAGGATAAGCTCACTGTTCGTAACATGCTACATCTATATTATAAGGTGTAAAAGGCAACGTTACTGACTGAGCAGCCCCAAGTCCCCATTGTGACAGGGATCTTCTAACCTGCACCCACTGTCAAAATTTTAAAACCTGCAGCCATACGAGGCTCCACCCACCCAGCCGCATGATCCAGAGAGTTCTGTAAATGGGAGAACAACTACTGTCAACCATTGCATCTGACAGCTTGTAGTTCTCAAACTATCATGGTGCTGATGAGCACTCTAGGTAGTTGATGGATTTTTCCCGTCATTCACCAACTGCCTGTCTGTATGAGGTATGGGCAGACAGCTACACTGACAGTCTGTAGGAGCCTGAGGCAGCACCCGCGAACTGCTGATCATGGGTGCAATGCTTTACAGGCTCCTAATAAAATAATAAACAGACATTTTTTAACCTGCAAAAGGAGGTGCATTTATTTATTTTTTTAAAGGTGAACCTATCCTTTAAGGCACCTTTTAAAAAGTATCTATGTCTTCTTTCTATGCTGCAAACAGTTACAAGCAGACCCTGGCTAACCTCTTCTCCCACACTATTTTCATCCTACAGTTCCCGCACCGCCAACTTCCTCTTGTACATCAGGGGCCAGCTGTCTCTCCCAGGTTCTTGCAGCTAACCCTCTGATGATGAAGTGCAGCACATGCACATCTGTTGTAGATTGCCCTGAACCCTCCTGTGGCAGGTTTACCTAAGCGTCTGAGGAGTCTGTGTGCAGCTATTTGCGATTGTGTAACGTGATGGGGGAAAGTACAATATTAGACAAAGCAGACAAGGAGAGAGAAGGTCCACTTTAAGGGAGAGTAAGCAAAAGTTAAGGGGACAAAAATATTATAATTCACTTTGACTACACAGGATTTGCTACATTAATCTTTGCTTGTAATTTCTAGGGAGAATATAACATTTTGACCATTTGACAGTTTTTAAACACTGCCTCTGGTGATCATCTCCGTCAGGAGAAAGAACTTTAATATTGATTTTGACCTAGGTTAGACTTGACCTATTTACCTTAACAGAAAAGGAATTGTTAAGTGATACAGATTTACTAGGCAAGAGACACAGTATGGGAGAAGAAATCTCTAGAATAATGTCTGAATCATACTTTTATTTATGCAGGACACAGAAATAAAATGAAATCTTAGGTTTACAGAAAATGGGGGGGGGGATTTTTTTCTACATACTTACCTGTAAAATCCATTTCTTGGAGTACATCACAGGACACAGAGCAGACTATTTATGACTAGGTGTGTTATATGCCACCTATTGGTGAATGGACACTGGATGACCAATCAGAGAGGAAGTCCTCCCCTATATATCTCCCCCTATACATGAAGAACTTCAGTTTTTGTAGCAAGCAATGAAATTCCACAAAGGGGAGGGACTTCTGTGTCCTGTGATGTACTCCAAGAAATGGATTTTACAGGTAAGTATGTAGAAACAAAACCCAGTTTTCTTTATCGTACATCACAAGACACAGAACAGGCTATTCATAACTATGTGGGATGTCCCAAAGCAATAAAAAAAATTAGAGGATAGGGTGACACCATGATGGGCACCTTCAATCCCTCAGGACCTACTCAGCTGTCTGTAAAACACTGCGACCAAAGGCCAAATCCTCTGCGGCTCTGCTATCCACCTGGTAGAACCTTGTGAATGTGTGAACCGAAGACCATGTAGCAGCCTTACAAACCCGAGCCACTAAAGCCTGATGGCGGATTGTCCTAGATGCCCCCCACACTCCTGGTAGAGTGTGTCTTCACCCGAAAGGGTGGGACCGTATCTTTTAAACCATAGGCCTGAATGATCAATTTGCGGATCCAATGTGAAATAGTCAACTTAGATGCCGCCTGCTGCTTCCTAGGCCCCTCTGGCAGGACGAACAGAGCATCTGACCACCTGACCTTACAGCACGTACTACATCCAAGGTATGCAGAGATATTTCTCTTGCTGACTGAGGCCTTGGAAAGAATGAAGGCAGAATGATGTCCTAATTGAAATGAAAACTAGAAACCACCTTTGATATATATATGAAAAGAAAAAAAAAAAAAAAAAAAAAAAGTCGGTTGAGGTAGCAACACCACCGTATCATACAAAACCAGAAATGATTCTCTGCAAGAAAGAGCTGCCAGCTCAGACACCCTTCTTGCAGAAGCGATTGCCACTAGAAAAAAAAAACCTAATGAGTCAACAGGACCAGTGGAATCTCTCCAATAGGTTCAAATGGTGGTTTTTGCAAAACTTCCAAAACCAAGTTCAGGTCTCAAGGACACAAAGGTAACCTGATAGGAGGAGTAATAAGCATTACTGAGACACAATGGGCCTCTGGGAAAAAACAGCTAATGCTGAAACCTGATCCTTAATGGTACCAACAGCCAATACCTTCTCCAACCTTGTCTGAAAAAACATCAGAATCCTACCAATCACATACTTTCGTGGGTGCCATTTCTGGACCTCAAACCAGGAAATGTAAGCCTTCCAAGTTCTGTAATCAATGTTCCTACAGACTACCTTTCTAGCCCCCAACATGATGGTGGTGACAGAATCCAATACTCACTTATCCTTCAGGATCTGGGTTTCAATAGTCATGCCTTCAAATTTAGCAACTGTAAAGCTGGGTGCAATATAGGACCTTGAGAGAGCAAGTCTGGCCGACACGGCAAGGACCACAGCCCATCTACTGCCATCTTTACTATGTCAGCGTACTAGGCCCTCTTGGGCCAGGCCGGGGCAATCAGTATCACTGGAATAGACTCCTGCCGAATCCTGCGTAAAAGACGTGACAGCAGCTGAATAGGAGAAAAGGCATAAATCAGAGAAAACTGGCTCCAAAGAAGTACTGAGGCATCTACACCTGCTGCGCGACGATGCCTTACACTTGTCACAAAAAGACCGACCTTGCCATTGAATCTTGATGCAAACAGATCTACTTGGGGCATATTTCTGTCCAGGTCAGAATGTAATTCACCTTCTCCTAAGCCCCTAAAATCCTGGTACCGCCCTGGTGGTTGATGTATGACACTGCTGTGGCATTGTTGGGACAGAATCCTTACAGACCAACCCTGAAGCCTGGATGTCCAATACCTCAGTCAGCCTCACTGCCCAAAGTTCCTGGACACTGATGGGTAGAACCCTTTCCCATGGAAGCCATGTTCTCTAAACTGTGGCCTCCTCCAGGACAAACCTGAAATTCTAGCCTGTACCACAGAGAAATCGTGGAAATTACTCACTTGTCTTAGATTAGAGCCCTCCAGGTAGCAATAAAATTGAAGTCTTTAAAAGCTTACAACACCTGGTATACCCAGACAGTCTCTCCTCCAAGTAGTAACCATGGCTTGACCCCGATTATATTCAAAGATCAGACGAGATCAGGCACGTACAAGGTAAGGCGGCCACAGTCCATTGCAGCTGCACCACCAGAAATAGCTGCAATGCCAGGCAAACAGTGGCCCAGATGCCCATGGGTTATCATGAAATGTGAACACTGCCAGATTTACCCCCCAAACCCCCCCCCCCCCCCCCCCCCAGTCCACTGGACCCGAGGGCAGTGTACCTACCTCTCTGCTGGCTACCTTTTTTGGAACCCTTTAAGTTAAGAAAAGGCAGCAACAATTCTGTCACCTAACTATGCAGTCCCGCAGAGATATATGGCCATAGCTATCTATATACACACACACATACAGATAGATAGATAGATAGATAGATATATATATATGGCTGGAGGAGAGAACTGCAGCACAAAACTCCTTTAGAGACACATACAGCATGGCCTGGCCAGACGAACAGCAGATTGCCCCCAGTGGCCACCGGAGAATGACAAAAACAATCAGATTTTTCAAAGAAATAATTAAAAAAAAAAACAAAAAAAAAAAAAACTTACCATTCCCATCGCAGGACCCTGAATCATAATAGGAGTCTAACCTTCACCCATCATGGCGGGCTTTGTCATACAGACCTTCAAGGACTTGGTCCCCATAATGTGGGGCCACTGTCTCGGTCCTATACAGCACCCCGCCAGAAAGCCCCTTGGTCAGATTATACTGCACTGGGTTCCGTTATGCAAGGGCCAGTGCCGTAAGGCTGCAGTACAGGCAAAACCCATAGGATTCTTCTCCTTTTCCAGTGAGGTACCATCCATATTGACTAACAGCTTTCTGAATGGATCCGATTAAAGTGATTTTCGAATGCAGGGGTCTCCAAACTGCAGCCCAAGGCCCGGATGTGGCCATTTGCTTGCCTTTATCTGGCCCTTGGGTCATTATTCCTCCCGCTGACACCAACAATGGGGTACTATTCCTCCCACTGACACCAAAGACAGAATTAGTTCTCCTGCTGACACGGGGCACTATTCCCCCCGCCAACACCAATGATGGGGCACTATTCCACCCGCCAACAATGGGGCACTATTCCACCCGCCGACACCAGAGACAGGGAATTAATTCTCCAGCTGACACCAATGATGAGGCACTATTCACCTAAGGTGGCATATAACCCAAATAGTCATAAATAGCCTGCTCTGTGTCCCGTGTACAATAAAGGGAGAAAAAAAAAAAAAGTTAAATTGGATTTAATGCGATAGTAAACTCCACTTTTTATCTCATACCTACAGGTAAACCTATATTATGGCTTACCTGTAGCTACAGCGAATATTTCCTAAATGTGCACCATTTAGGAGATATTTACTTGTGTAGCAGCCAGTGTCTATTAAGAGAGCTGTGCCACAACCATGACTCCTGCGTGCAAGTGACTTCATCATGGCTTGGCCATTCAAACATCTGGAACCCACAAACCTGGAAGACTAGGTGAAGATGGAAATCCCTGTCAGCGGCCAAAGCACACTGCTGGGGGGTTTACTTTTTTTTTAGGCATGTCTGTCATAATGTGCTGGTATGTGGCACATACTAGCAAATTATGACATGAGCCTGCAGACGGGGGAAATGTTGTGGTTTTTTAACGCCATTTGCTACCACTTTAACAGTAATATCTCTTGTTCTTCTAGCTCCTGAATTAATTGAAATTAATTGAAATCTTCCTCCATCAACATCTCCCTTCCTTCCCTACCCCTGCTGCCAGTCTTCCAATGCAGCAGTGGTTATTACAGCCAATGGACCTCATCAAGAACCAGCACACCAGAAAATGGCAGGAGTAGGGTGTGATGGAGGAATATTTGAAGAGCACAACAGGCTAAAGTCCCTTGTGGGTTTTTTTTTTAATTTTTAATTAAATGTACACTTTAACAGGTTTGTGGTTATCAAATACTAACATTTTATCGAACTTACCTGTTCTTCTGCTATTCTTGAAGTATTCTGAAGCTTTAGTATAGTCTTGTTAAAAGCTCTCTGCATTTCTTCCATTTGTTTCCGGTACCTTTATAATAAGTAATTTGTTAAAAACATTTTAAAGCTAGCTCTGACAGAAAGAAAATTTTACAAATGCATTGAAGAACAGTGAATTACATGCCAGTTTATGTGAATTACTTTCATTTGTCCCGTAATGCCTGCATCATTTTTCCCACTGAATGCTATAGTTACATAGTCAGTCTGGCTGAAAAAAGAATAAAAGTCCATCCAGTTCAACCATAACATAAAAAAAAAAAAAAAAAGGTTATAATTCTACACCCACAGCTGATCCAGAGGCAGGCAAAAAAAACAGCAAATCATGATCCAATTTGCTCCTGCAGGGGAAAAAACTCCTTGATCCCCCGAGAGGCAATTGGATATTCCCTGGATCAACTTTACCTATAAATAGTAACCAGTTATTTTCTGTGTATCTAAGAAAGAATCCAGGCCTTTTTAAAGCAAATCACTGAGCTGGCCAGAACCAACTCTTGACGGAGTCTATTCCACATTTCACAGCTCTGTGAAGAAACCTGTTTGGAGATTACATTTCTTTTCCTCCAGGTGTAAAGAGTGCCCCCTTGTCCTCTAATGACCTCAGGGTGAATAACTCTACACCGAGTTCACTATATGAACCACTGATGTATTTATACACGTTGATCATATCCCCCTTAATCTCCTTCTCAAGAGAGAATTAATTCAGTTCCTCTAATCTTTCCTCATAGTTGATCTCCTCCATGCCTTTTATCAGTTTGGTTGCCCTTCTTTGTACTTTCTCCAGTTCCCCAATGTTCTTTTTGTGAATTGGTGCCAAAAATTGAACTGAATATTCCAGATGAGGTATAACTAATGATTTGAACAGGAGTAGAATGATCTCTCTCTCTCTCATCTATACCTCTAATACAAGAGAGGATTTTTCTCACTTTAGAAACTGCAGCTTGGCATTGAATGCTGTTACTTATATTGTCAGAACTTTAATTTAAACTCCAGTTCTTCCCATTCGTGGCAAACAACAACAGGTTTGCTGTGGTCCCAACCTCTCCCCAGCGTAATTTTCCTTTTACCCCCTTAGCACCTTGGGATGTTTTCTTCTTGGCCAGTCACAAAACAACGCCTGGGGCTGTGTGCTTTGTAAACGACCTGGGGGAGAGGGACATATAACTGTATTAATGGGGCCCATAAGTCATACACTGCTTACATCAGAGTGGCCCACAAAAACAGCAGAAGGTGCATTTCCCTACGGTGTGTAAACAAGTTAATTCCACTACTGTAAAGGAAAGCCAGCATAGTAGAGGGATACTTTTGAGGAAACCAATTATATAAGAATGGTGAGTTTATGGTGCTTGGAGTTGGGCTTTAAGTCTTTCAGATGAAATGTAATAAATTACTCTACTTATCAAGAAAGAGTCTAAAGTGGGGTACACACCATGAGAAAATCTTAAGAAAAATTGTGTACGAGGAATGACCTTTCAATTTTCAGAGTGTGTACACAAAACTTTCGACATCCAACTCAGACTTTCCAAACAAAAATTTCAGAAGGCACAAACTCCAAAATTTCTTGTACGTGAACAGAACGATTATGGTTTAATGTGTACCATTTTCGTACGAGAAAAATCAGATACAAAAGACTGCAGATGGTCATAAACAATCTATGCTATGTTTCAATGTCAAAAAAAAAAAAAAAAGATTAGTCGTTCGAGAATTTTCCTATGTTGGACTTCTAAAACCATCCTTGGGTTCTACTTGCTGTAAAACACTGAGGAAAACTGGACTTTAAAAGGTGTACAAGTTGACAAAAAGCAATCTTTGTCCCAATGAATAAAGCAGAATAGAAAATAACGGTCCCTCATTCATTAGGCAGGGGCATGGCTTACCTCTGACTAAGCTCTTCCAGATAGCGGCTGCTTAGAGACATGTTAACTTCAAGAGCTTTAATGCGATTATTGAGACGCATAAAGACAGATTCCTTCTGGTTAGAACCATGAACCTGATTTCCATTTGTATAGCCCAGATCTGTAGCGTTCTGTAATTCAGCATAGAAATCAGTAGTAATTCTGTGCAAGTTCCCACTAATAGAGACATCCTCTGTAACTTGTTCATCCTCTTTTTTGTCTACAGAAGGTGGATTCTCAACAGGCTGACTCACTGCAAGTTTTGGGGTTTCTTTTATTTCCAAATCACTCTCTACAGTTAGAGTAGCTTCCTGAACTGGCAGGCTTTCCGTTGGTTTAATAATGTTTGGGTAATCGGCAGCTTCTTTGACCAAGCGGTCATTGACATCTTGTAAAGTACTGGACTCTGGGTTTACAGTTTGTTTCTCTGCATAAATCAAAGTCTCGCTGATTTTCACCTCGTTTGTTTGTTCTGGTACAACCTCTGGTGAAAGAGAACTAAGATTTGGGCTCTGTATGGTTTTAGTTGCCTCTGAAATGGATGCAACTGATGATAGTTTAACATCTGCGGTCATGTGTTCAGCAACCGACTGAGATATGGCCTGAGTGTGACTAGGTTCTAAGGTGACAGAGTTTTAAATTATCAGTTTGTAAAACATCTCCTGGATTCACCAAAATAAAGTCTGTTGTGGCCTCTTCAATTTTTTTGGTCTCAGATGGTTCGGCTGGGACCATTGTAGCAGTTGGACTTTCCAAAGTTTGCTGCGTCGACTGAGATTCATTCTCCTCCTTGCGCTTATATTCATGTGTTTTACTACGTTGCCTGTGAATGGCCACAATAGCTGAACACCACTTATAAATATATTCAGAAAAACTGGAGATACAGCAGATAGTTGCTAGTTCACCACAATAAATCTGTGTCTCAAACTCAAACCAGGACTCTTTTTCTTCTTCCTGATCATCAGTACCCAAGAGAGTAACAGTTGACTGACTAGGCTGTTCCTCTTCTTCTTCTTGTACTAGCTGGACAATGGGATTTTCTTTCTGCATTTCTGGTTCAGATACAGATTCCGTAGGTAGTGCAACACTTTCTGTTTCCATCCTGTAAAAGTACAATGTAAATGAATAACGCAATATAGTTTTCAGATTAAATGTAAATTAAAAAAGTATGCACTATTCTAAAACACAATAGCAATATAAAATAACCAGTCAATAGCGTTTTAAAAAGAAAACTCTTTTCACAATAAAATTATAATACTATTATACTGAATATAACTATATACTGTATATTTACTACAAAAGCATCTTTGGCAATCCAATCTAATTAAAAAACATTGCCTTTCTATCCTAATCTGCTACAATTGTATATAACTGCCAAAACATTTAAACACTGCTTTTATACAAATGTGGGAAGCAAATGGTTTCTTTGTGTTTGGCTCACTACTTTCCCCAGAAATCAGCACAGAGCTTGAAGTGAAATGAAAGGAATTTAACAGTAGTTTGATTTTTAAAATACTTTCCATGATAAGTCACAATTGAAGGGGCATACAGCCTGCACCCAGTAGTATATTTTGGTTCTCGGGAACCACTGAGCTGCCCTGCTCTGACAACCGCTCACACCTGTGTGTCCCTTCTGCCTGGGGGCGGTGCCACCCCCCTGCAAAATGCAGCCCAAGGCAAATGCCTTGTTTGCCTCATGGTAGAAACGCCCCTGCCTGCACCTATCATTGGCAAGGCAAATCATATTTTCACAACACAGAAAATTAAGAGTCTTCCATATAATATACATTGGTAAAACCAATATTATATAAACTGTATATAGTATATATTATATAAACTGTACACTCACATACAATTGTGCGCAAACGTTTGCATACACTTGAGAATTGGAAATATAAGTACCATTTTTAAAGACAACATGAGTGAGCAGGCAAAACACATTTCCTTTATTTCTTATAGGATTTATATTTAACTGTAGGTCATAACAGAATGGCAAAATCATAAAAGAAAACATAGTAACAAAAACGAAATGACCCCTGTTCATAAGTCTGAATAAACTTAGCTTAGTACTGTGCATTGCCCCTTTAGCATCAATATCAATGTACAGTTCTGTAATATTTATCTATGGGGCCCTGAATTCTTGCAGGTGGCATAGCTGCCCATTGGTCTTGGCAAAATGCCTCCAGGTCATGTAAAGTCTTTGGTTGTCTTGCATGAACCGCACATTTGAGATCTCCCCGGAGTTGTTCAATGATATTAAGGTTAGGTGACTGTAATGGCCAATTAGGAACATTCACCTTTTTCTGCTGTAACTACCTGAGGGTCAATTTGACCTTTTTTTAGGGTCACTGTCGTGCTAGAAAGTCAAAGCGCGTCCAATGCGCAGCTTTCCTGCAGAAGAACGCAAATTGCCAGTATTTTCATCTTGCCATCAATTTTCACAAGATTTCCCATACCTTTATAGCTCACACCCAAAAAACATCAGTGAGCCACCACGCTTCACAGTGAGGATGTATTCTTGTTGCTATAGGCCTTGTTGACCCCTCTACAAAAATAGCACTTAAGGTTGTGTCCAAAAGCTCTATTTTGGTCTTGTCACTTCAGATTACAGTGTGCAAGAAGCTGTGAGACAGGTCAAGGTGTTGTCGGGCATATTGTAAATGGGCTTCTTTTTTTTTTTGTGGCACCAGCGCAGTAAAGGCTTTTTTCTGGCATTCGACCATGCAGCTTATTTATTTTCGAGTATCGTCATATTACGCTCTGTCTTTTTCAAGAGCAGCCTGTATTTCTTCTGAGGTTACCTGTGGGTTTTTCTTTGTATCCTGAACAATTCCTCGGGTAGTTGTGACTGCAATCTTTCTTGGAATACCTGACCTTGGCTTGGTATCAAGAGAACCCTTGAATTTTTCACCTCTTAATAAGTGATTGAACAGTACTGACTGCCATATTCAAGGCTTTGGATATTTTTTTATAACCTTTTCCATCTTTATAAAGTTCCATTTTCTTGTAACGCAGGTCTTTTGACAGTTCTTTTATGCTCCCCATAGCTCAGTATCTACGCAAGAGCTAACAAACTCATTAATTATTAAAGTGGTTGTAAAGGCTCAAGGTTTTTTACATTCATGCATTCTATGCATGCAGGTGAAAAACCTTTTCTGTGCAGCAGCTCCCCCAGCCCCCCTAATATATACCTAAGCCCCAGCTCGATCCAGCGATGTGCACTAGAGTCTTAGCTATCCCGGGACTCCCTCTCCTCATTGGTTGAGACAAAAGCGGGAGCCATTGCCTCCCACTGCTGTCAATCACAAGAGAGAAGAGAGGGGGTGGGGTCAAGCCAAGTACCCCCAGCAAGCTGCTTGCTGTGGGGGCATCCAACAGGAGGGAGGGGCCAGGAGAGCTGGCAGGGGAACCGGGCTGCTCTGTGCAAGACTACTGCACACAGCCCATGTTAGCTAACCCCCTATGACTACGTGCCTTCGCACGAAACGCGTCAGTGAGGGCTACAGCGGTGTGATCCGACACGAGAGGGCCATTTGTTATCTTTGTATGGTCAGTATCTCTCCTGCCTCTGCTTGTATACTGTGTGTCTTTGGGAATAAATACCCCTTGGGTATCACACTATTTGGCCTCCTTTGTTCTTTTGGGCTCCGGTGGGAGCCCTTTACATCTGCAGAGTGGCCCTTTTTTCTTCTATGCGTGGCAAACACCATCAAGTGACAGGGGCTTTTGTGACCAGATCTGGATCCATATGAGGACCCTAGATTATCTGCTTTGAATGCGCATTTGGATTGCGTATCTGGTGAGTGCGCAATCTTTATACCTTTATCACCTCATCCACGAATCCAGGCATTGGAGCTTTTTGAAGACTCTCTTGGGTTTTGAACACGTTTTGAACACGTTATGGACTATACTTATTTTAGTCACCATAGCACTTTAACAGCACCTTAAATTACCCAAGTTAGCGCTGCATGCCTTTTATGTTAGTTATTTAACCGCTTCTTTGCTGCCCTTGCAGCTGTCATTTGCTGCCTTGGCTGTCACCGGGTCCTGGCCGGCGATTTCTCACCAGCACCCGGTGACCGCCGAAAGCATCTCCGATGGGGGAGAGATCTGTGTATAAACAATACAGATCTCTCCCTTGTCTGCTCCTGCACACTGCTTTGTATGCTATGTGCTTACAGTGGAAAGCAGCACACAGGTAACCCTTTGATCGCCCAGATGTTATCCCCTTCCTGCCCAGTGCCATTAGTACAGTGTCAGTGCTTTTTATTAGCGCTGATCACTGTATTGGTGTCTCTAGGGATGTCAGTGACACCAAGCCAGTTCCCCCCCAGTGTCAGAATGCCCGCCGCAGGCCCGCTATAAGTCACTGATCGCCGCCATTAAAAAAAAAAAAAAAAATTCCAGTATATATACACATCGTCATTTGAAGACGCTACAACTTTCACATAAACCAATTAATTTACATGTATTGGGATTTTTGTTTTATTTTTTAGCAAAGACATGTAGCAGAATACATTTTGGCCTAAATTTATGACGAAATTAGATTTAAAAAAATTTTTTTTTACTGGGCATGCTTAACAGCAAAAGTCAAAAGTATTGTTTTTTGCTCAAAATTGTCGGTCAAATACCACCGAAAGAGAGCTCTATTGAGGGGGGGGGGGGGGGGTTGAAGAACATAAATCTCATTTATGTACAACGTTGCATGACCTCGCAATTGTCAGTTAAAGGAACACAGCGCCATATCGCAAAAAAAAAAATGGCCTGGTCAAGAAGGAGGGTATATGCTCTGGAGAGCAAGTGGTTAAATAAAAGTTGTTTTTTTTTTTTTTTTTGCATGATCAGTCATATTTTCACAATTCCTGTCAGGGTATGCAAACGTTTGAGCACAACTGTACGTACACACACATGCACACTATTTTACCTAACCAAACTGGCATTTAAAAAAAGAAACAAAAGCAAACTCAAACCTTAGCAAAAAAGTGCACTCTATATCTGTATGACTATGCTGTATAAATGAGGTATCCCCAAATCCTAGCTATGCAACAACTTTACCTACCAAACCTAAAAAACACAACTAGCTGTCAGTCCGTAAGTCTCAAGCGACCCCCTGACATGGGAAGGACCAGCATCTCTTTACCAGCATCAGCTGGTAACTCCCACTTATTTCAGACCTTATTCTTGTTATGAAAACAGCACCATCTAGTGCCTCAATAAGACAATGCAACCCACTCATGTTGGAAGAGATAAAGAGAGGGCAGGTGCCATTTTTCTGTACAGCTCAAGCATGACATTAAGGCCCGGCTCGCACCAATGCAGTTTACTTTTGAACCGTTTTTGCAATTTTTTTTTGGCGTTTTGCTTTGCATTTTTACACTCACATTTTGTGTTTTTTTCAGCATTTGCTTTTTTGTTAAGGGAGAAATGTTTTTGTTCCTGGGCAGAATAAAAATGCAAAATGAGGCAAAAGTGCACTACATGTGTTTCAGCAGCATCTCCATTGAGCTGCACTGTAGCCAAAATGCTGCTTTCTGCATTTAAAAAAAAAGTCCCTGCCCTTTTCCAAAAACACAGCAGCTGAAAAGCATAGATGTCCCATTGGAAACCATGTTAAATGGACTGTAGTGTGTTTCTGCAAAAAGCAATTAAAAACACATTAGTGTAAACCAGGCCTTAAGTGGAACTTTAGTCAGAAAATTAACTCCTGTTAGATCGCTTCAGGCCTTTTGCAGGTATAGCGATGTAAAACAGAAAAAAAAAAAATGCCTACACTGTTTAAAATCCAGCAATATGTGGTCTCATCCTGCTCTACACATGCTCAATTATTCTATTTTTTGCACTGTGCTAAAAATCAGAGGCACTAGAGGCCGATCTGTTAACAGAATAATGATTTACCACTGCACAGGAGCTCTGGGCTTCAGCAAAATGGCAGCCACTAGCAAGAAGAAACAGGAGAATTTCTGGAGGCAAATTGCAGCACATACTAATTTTGGTAGCATAATTATTAATGTGGAATGTGTGTTCCTTTGATAAAGAACATTATTTGGTATCAAACTGGTATGGGTAAAGTTCTGCTTTAATGACAGATAGGGGGAGTAGAGACAAATGAATGATTGATTTACATTCCTGAATAGCTCAGTGACTTTTTATAAATAATAGGTGTTTTCACACACAAAAAGGTTAATTATTTCCTAGAGAATGCAAAAGAGATTTACTAAACAGTTTAGGTAGAGTTCTTCATTGAATGCCGCCGCCTCCTCATCTTCTCTTGTAATGACATTTAATCTGACTGATTTAACTAAGCGATAAGTAAGTAAACCTTACTTATACAAAATGCCACTGTAGTTGCTAATGGTTGTGGGAAATATTGAAGTATTGTTTCTTAAAGTCAAATCTGTTACTGGTAACCTCTGTTTAAGAGAACGTTATTTCTAATACAGATTTTGGTGATAAATAAGGACATACAACAGAACAGGCAACACCATTAGCTTCTATATGAGCATATAACCTAATTGAAGTGGATGATGAAATAAAGACCATTGTCCATGGTAGGTGACACACACACACACGTTAACAGCACACTCACGTAGCTGGTGTAGGTGGCGCTTGTTCAGTGGTCTTTTCTGTACTGGCTTCCACAGTCTCCGCAGTCATATTTTTAGGTGTGCTTCCATTCAAGACTTAAAAAGAAACAATATGAGTATATTAATTAGTATTTACTTCACTCTCCTAATATAGCAAGTGACCAAACATGCTTCTTCTGTGTAACCTGTTTTACCAGAAATATAAAAAGCAAAAATACCAAACATATTACCATTTTAAAATAAATCTGTGGAAAACCTGAGATCCCATAAACTAGGAGCTGCAGCTGGTAGCTGACAGCCTAAACTCTTAGCTTGTCCACAATGATGTGCCCTTGCAATGCCATAAATTATATTTCTAAAGTTCCCACACTGCAATGCTATTTAGACCTTTTGACCCTGGGCTCTACATTGTGGGAGGTGGTGAATTGCTTATCTTTCACAACGAAGAAGTGGAAAAGTACAAGAAAATTATAACATATAATATATAGCAAACTTTGAGCGACAGCTCAGTTTGTGATCTGCATTTCCCCAATCCCAGGGACAGTTAAGTTGGGTTTTTGAAGTCAGTCTAAAAATCTGTAATGGATCTTACAAGTCTTTATAATTTGCAATGCATGGCATACGTTACAGGAGTTCCATCCACAAGGTTCACAGAACTGTACAAGTACAGTAGGACATTAGATGTGCTGAATGCATTTAGAAGCAGATAGGGCTAACCACTACTTCAGCAACTGTGTACATAATCCATAAATATAGTTTCACCATTGTCTACCCAGGCTTTAAGTAAATAAAGGCTTTAATTAATAAAAGACATTGCTCATTTTCAAACATTTTATCAAGTGCTCCTATTTATTTGGACCCGTATTATCTTTTCGTACTGACCTGTCGTCTTTACAGGATTGCCAGCAAACCTGTCTGGTGCAGGGTACAGGCAATCTGATTGTGAAACCAGCATGAAGCCAGAATTATCATATCAGATTCATCTGCTCATGAAGGCTGCTTAGAAGAAGTAAGGTGCTCCACGCCAGTGAATTATTACTTTATCTTATCACACTGGGGTTGCTCTTCAGTACAGCAAGATCTGGTTTCTGCATGATATCAGGACCAGCTCAGTAAAAAGTATAAAAGGGAAGATTCTGCAACACACTAATACCCACAGAGTTCAGGGTCACAGAACCCTCCCGAAAACACAGCCCAAGGCAGCATGACTGGCTTCTGAGCAGGACTAGAGGACACAGAACTCATAGGTATTAATATAAGTCAAAGAGTTGAGGCAATGCAATGCCAAATTGGCACCCTAATTACATACATGCTTGTAGGACTAAACCGATAAAGTAAAGTAGTGTTAGCTAAAAATGTATGTGTTCATTTATAACCAACATATTTGCTACCCACCGCCTTCATCGGTCAAGTTGCTGACAAACACCATTTGACTTGTGGCAGCTATACATACAATGCACATGGTACACAGTGCTGGCAGACATGACGTATTTGGCAATGCAGCAAAAAAGCTTCTTTGCAAATCACTCAGCTAAAAAGCCCCACTACCTTTTCTATTACATTACCAGATGGGTAAGCGCCGTCAGAGATCCATTAGTCACCATGTACTCATCATTCTGTTAAGATAATTTCTACGGAGAGGTTTCCCAATACCTTTGTTATATACTACGAAAAGTCTTAAAAAACATTACTCAAAGAGCTCACTGTAGAAGAGGATCAATATGCTTTCATATATTCCTTACTTTGAACCAGTGTTTCAATTTAAGTACAAATATAAAGCAGCTACCTTTCCCTTCAGAGATCGCTTCCTCAGTATTGGCACCCAGCATGTTAGCAGCAAGATTATTCACCATGCTAAGAATGGCATCTGAAGAGAATGCAAGGAACACAAGCAAATGTTACTGGTCTGCAGTCATATCAATACTGTCACCAAGGGAAAGTGTACACTATAAGTCAGTACAGTAGACCAAGTTATGCACTTTGTGCTTGACTGTTATGTCTCAGTTAACCAAGGTTCACAGTATAGACCAGCCTTTCTCAACCAGGGATCCTCCTGGAGTTGCTAGAAGTTCCTTGAGCAATTTCTGACTTTTAGATAACCAATGACTGATACGGTGATCTTTTTTAGCCATCTGTAAGAGGGCATTCTTCCCAATGACCACCAACGTAAGGGGTTCCTTCTCCCACTTTTCATGAGTCTAAGAAAGGCTTCACTGGCCTCCAATGTCAGGGGGCATTTTATTTGCATCCAAAGCAAGGTGGTACTAAACAGTTACTGTAAGATTACTTTATGGACCACAAAAATATGGGGGCACATTTACATTATGTATTATAGTAAGCAGGGATTTCTCCACTGACCCTCAATTTAAGGGAACACTACAATTTTCACTGTCTACAATTATTTTCTGGCTGTTATTCATTTCATTCGAGTAGTATTCCTAAAAATATGTATAGAACAGCCCTGGGTGACAAAAATGCAGCATTCATTATTTTTTTTACTTATTATGGTAAGTGCAACTGTTTTACTACTGTTAGCTGTAGATATGTAACAATTCAGTAATTATTAAATGTAACTTTTTTTTTTTTTTCCAAGGGTTTTCTTGTATGAAGGTAGAGAAAGGCTGGTATGGACACCCATACAGAATTCTGGATTCAAAATAGTGTTACCACTTCACTGTGGAAACTATATTTATATATATTAAGGAGAGGTATAATTGGAACAACTGAAAGAAATTTTTTACCAAAAATCACAAGCTTTTTTATGTACAGAACAGATTAGACTGATATTA